TTCCACCTTCCTATTATGAGAATCAATGCCGCGTCTGTAGGCGCTGTCAATCTGAGCTGCAACATTCACCCTTCCAAGTAATCCCAATTTTACGGCATTTTCCAAATGACTGTTGCTGCTCTCATGCTTCATTGTCCTCTCCGAAAGATGCTTTAAGTCCTTGTAACCTGTCCTCGACCAAGTACCTTGATCTTCACCAAAAAGCAGGCAAGGAAAGCAAAAGAGGGAATTCTTCTGGATGCTCGCCGTTAGCCATTTCTTTTTAGCAAACCACTCAGCGTTAAACCCACGTTTAACTTTGCCCGCAGTCTGGACCATTTGGAAATCCGGTGGATGGTGGGCACCGAGGCGCTTTACCTCCAGTTTCTCTCCGAGACTAAGTGTCTCAAATGTGTGCTCCAGTAAATGGTCAACTTCATTCATTTTCTTTCAGTTTTTTACTTCTTTTAATCGCTGGTGATGTTAGCTATATGCTGCTCTCTCGTCTCCTCTTCAAACTACACGTGACGTTTCGCAGCACTGCACACGTGAGTACTTACAGCCAATCAATTCTGAATTATGTGAGATGACGTATGGTGGGGATGGGAGCACTATGCCCCTACGGTCATTATTTTTTTGCCACACACATTAAATAGAAAAATACTCTGAGCATGCGCAGTGTAGTTTTTACAATCACCGTTCACTTAGACTGTGAGAGGGAGGGGCAGGATCGGGTTTTGTCCCACATGGCTCTAAACAGCTCAAAACGGCACTCTAGACACTAATTAGAAGAACACAGACTAAAACAGAAATGTACAGACGAATCAGATTATTAAACATGACCTTAAAATATATTTTATATGTTTTTTTATTTATTTTTTAGTATTTTTTTGTAATCATTATTTGTAATACTTTCTTCTGACACTAGGTGGGGCTGTGCCCCACCTGCCCCTAATGACCCGCCGCCACTGAGTGCATTTGCCATTTTGTGAGGAGTACCGCGAAAATGAACAATGGATTTATCAACCTTTTTATTTTCCCCTCATGAACTTTTTCTCGGGACAAAATAGACTCTTGATTAGTAAACGTTTACTCTGTGTAAATGTTATTTATGTGTAAACGTTATTTTGGCATGTATAAGTAAGGTTACATGTGTAGATGAATAAAAGAATCCTTTATTCGTCCCACAACGGAGACATTTATAGACATGTATTTTATTTGATCATACTGTTCTGTACAGATGAGACTTTGTCATAGACTTATTTACATGTGTGTCTGTGATAAACTTTATTTATGTATGTGTGTGTGTGTGTGTGTGTGTGTGTGTGTGTGGTGTGTGTGTGTGTGTGTGTGTGTGTGTGTGTGTGTGTGTGTGTGTGTGTGTGTGTGTGTGTGTGTGTGTGTGTGTGTGTGTGATGTGTGTGTGTGTGTGTGTGTGTGTGTGTGTGTGTGTGTGTGTGTGTGTGGTGTGTGTGTGTGTGTGTGTGTGTGTGTGTGTGTGGTGTGTGTGTGTGTGTGTGTGTGTGTGTGTGTGTGTGTGTGTGTGTGTGTGTGTGTGTGTGTGTGTAGTGTGTAGTGTGTGTGTGTGTGTGTTCCCCACAATTTTAATTTGTTTCACAGCTGCCTGGGCTTAGCCCCACAGATGACATTTATCCAGGAGCCTCCAGCTGTGCCTGCCACCATGTTGAGGTCTACCGTGGATCAAGGGCCTTCACCACTGCCATCCCCACCAAGGACTAGCGGACCAGCATCACGACAGCTGCCTCCATCTCTGCCTGCGACGAGGTCAAGATACACCTCAGCTCCACCACAGCCATCACCATCAACCCGGACAGCAAAGAGGTCTCGTAGAGCACACGTACCTCCCACACAGCCACCAGCTGCCCATGCACCATCACCCCCACCTGCACAGCAGCCAGCTCCACTGTCTTGGAAGACAGGCGAAGACCCTGACACTGCTCCCCCTGTCTCCAGGTTTCAACCTGCTCGCACACCCGGGCCACAGCTCAGCTCAACAGTATCAAACAAACCCCTTGACCTGTTCAAGCTGTTCTTCAGTGCACTAACAGTACAGACACTCTGTACCAACACAAACAAGCGGGCTGCACAGGAGATGGGAAAGGGTAAAACCTACAAATGGACTGACTTGACTGTAGAGGATTTCTATAAATACATGGGGCCTGCTGAAACTGGACAATGTATTGGACTACTGGAGGAAGGATCATTTTGTCAGTGTATAATGAATAGTTGGTTGAAGGAAAAAAGTTCTGATGTTCAATATTGTAAATAGTGAGATTTTGCAGTTATATTTATATACATTGTTGGTAATATAATAAATTGTTGGTTGAAAAAAAAAGTTCTAATGCTCAATTCTTTTTTTTTTGTACACATCACATGAACCTTGGTATGTAATATGAAGTCATTATTCAGTCCTGATATATCTCAGTCCCTGCTGTGGTGAAAGTAGAGTGATTGACAGCTGTTTTACTCAGAATTCGAATTTATAAAATTTCATTTTAGACATGAATAACACATTTATATACAGTGTAATTCAAATATTTCACTACTTTTATAATCCTAAGACTTTGGTAACCAAATCTAAAACACCAAAACAATTCGATCACATGAGTACATTTGTGTTTTCACAAGAGTTTTGAAGATTTTCCGAAAATCGGATGTCAAAGCTTTTGAGCTACTTATCTCATCAAACAGTGCTCTAAGGTGAGTAATTTGCATATATAGCAATACTAGAGATTGTCCTGAACATTTTGATATGTAACACATGGGTGCCATTTTAGAAGAAATACATTTAAAAGGTGATTTAAGAAAACATCTAAACATCGAGAAAATACCCTTAGACTCCAGAGGGTTTTATGGGCTTTTCTAGCAGTCTTATTTTAAATCTTTAACGTTTGAACATAGTGAGGGGATCACAAACTACTTCAATAACATATAAATTGAGAGAGAGAGAGAGAGAGGGAGAGAGAGAGAGACAGAGAGGGAGAGAGAGAGAGAGGGAGAGACAGAGAGAGAGGAGAATGACCCCCCTCGGTGTGTGTGTGTGTGGTTTCTGTTCAGTGAGAAAAAAGGGGACATATATGGCCTCACTTCCCCAGCTGATCACGGACATAAAGACCTTTTTATTTATATATGACTCGTTTTCTAAAATGATAAGTTTAAAGATGCAAATGAGGCTTATCTTACTAAATATCTGCTTATTTGCATATATTTCCAGAACAGAAATGTGAACAGAGAAGAAAGCCATGTTGAAATTCTTGTGACATTTTCTGGACATATATTGCCAGCAGGGGGCAGCAGAAGCTTGGTCAACACTTGCTTTAGAATGTACACACACACACACACACACACACACACACACACACACACACATACACGTACACGCACACGCATACACTTACACAAACGCGCAGAGACACGCACACACACAACACAGACACATCATATAATACTCACTGTAGCTTTTATCAAACAAGCAGGAATATTCAGGGGACTATTTATATCCGCGGATTAATCCATATGTGGTGCTCCAGTGAGTATGTGTGGCTGCGGGAAGGTGTGTGTGTGTGTGTGTGTGTGTGTCCTAGCATTACTATACTTGTGGGGACCAACATCTGTTGACACAGTCACGTGTGGGGACTCGCCTGCCTTATGGGGACACAATGGATCTTTCATTTTAGGGTGAAGACTTGGTTAGGTTTAGGGTTTGGTTTAGGATAAGTCTCCAGGAAATGCATGTAAGTCAATGTAATGTCCCCTGAAGTGATGTATACATGGTATGTGTGTGTGAGAGTGTGTGTGTGTGTTTACAGTGCACTTATTTATTAAAGTAAACAGTATTTCTGCTGTATATAATTTCCTGCTTTTTACCTTATGATTTCACTTTAATGAACTACTTCATTCACTTATTTCAATTCTTTATCACTTATTATGTCTTACGTTAGTTATGATGTGCATCTACAGTAAAGCCTTTGAATCTTTAGCATTTAGATAATCACTCACCTGAAGAAGAAGAGGAGGTCACGTGGTGTGATGAAGAGGAATTGCAGCATCAGGTGTTTTTAATATGCAGTCTTTTATCTTGTATCCCTGCATCAGTAAACTCAGGAGCATTACAGGTACAGTCAGGTTCTTGAAGAGTGTATCGCCCCCTAGAGGCCTGGACTGGAAATACAGCAGGAAAAACAGGTCTAAATAAATAAGATGAGTAATTACAGAACAGATTTTATAATAAAAGAAAATACTATTAAAAGTCCTGAAAATAAACCATACTGAAGTGAAAATATAAAATGTAAGCAACATTTATTTAAAAATAAAAGTGTTGATTGTGCAGTAAAGTTGATCTGCACCCACGTTACTGATGAAAACTCGACAGCAGGAAGTCTGTTTTGATTTATTTTTAATGTAGAATATAAAATCTTCCTCCAGTGACAAACCAAAAGTAAAACGTTTGATCGTAAAAAAATAAACACACAAACCTGAGGGTGGTGCTGTCGAGCTGCAGTGTATTAACACACACACATACACACACTTTAAGAAATACACACACTAACACACAAATAATCGCACACGTCATTCAACAGCACACAACTGGTAAAATGGGCTCCTGCTCAACAGATGAAGCGCTGACTGAACCGGAGGACCAGTCTGAAAGCTGACAGGATGTTGATCAGGGGATTTGAAAGGTCTATAGCCACCTAGCCAGGTTTTCTAGCCTCTTCTCGATGTACCGTTCTTAGAGCTTCCTCTGTGACGCTCTGATGCACTCTCCAAGAACGCTGAAGAGTACGTAAGTCAAATCAAACAGTCTCACTCTCTCTCTTGCCTCATACCTGATCCCAGGATATCACCACAGCTCCACTGAATGTGCAACACCTTCCTTGGCTCTGACACAAACTGTATGTTGTTTACAAAGTGAGAGCCAGGGCAAAGAGAGGGGTTAAACCCAACAAAGCGTTGTGTTGTCAGTGTGTTGGAGATAGAGAGAGAAACATAACTCATTATAACATTCATTAAAAGTACTCTTTTTATTTGGATTATATTTCATTAAAGCCGTAGTAAAAAAAAGGAGAAACATATTCCATTAGGACTTAAGCTAATTAAAACATCCTAAGATACTGGAGGCATTTCAGCTTTAGGAATACACATAGAGTAAAAAGTGAGTATAGTAAATATATGGTATAGACTATTGATCAGATATATAGAGCATGTGCAGCAGTTACAGTAGGCAGTACAGGTATATATACTGTAGGTATAACTACACGCTAAGCTAATTATAAAAAATTATATGAATCATTCATTGAAAAACGAGATAAAAGCATTATTAAAGTTATTAAATCGACACTAGGGTGAATGATTTTCCCAGAGATCACAATTAACAAAAATATTTTATGGATCATTTTACAGTTTAAATATTTTCTGAATTCAACCCAACACTCGTATGTTTGAACATGTGCAGCAGTTACAGTGAGAAGTGAAGGTATAAGGTGTGATTACAAGTACTGCTAATATTGAGATGTTATACAGAGACTGCAGACTATAGATCAGATCCAGTATAACTATGTATGGGAATGTGAGAGCACACTTAAAGGACGTTCAGTCAGAAAGGAATGAATACAATAAGCTGTGTCTCCTATCACATGGAGGTGAGTTTCTGAAGGGCCTCTCGTGGGGCTCAGGTGTTCTCAGGCATCAGAAATGTTCCAATGATCTCATGGTTCTCCTGTTTTCTCCTGTAACATATGAGGAGGTGATGTTTGACAGCATGGACTCTGAGGGGAGTTGATGTTGTTGATCAGTCACACAGAGGCAGAAGCCCCTCCATCGTTTTCATAGTTCACCTCATCTTCATCTTCATCATTCTGCTCCTGTCAGCATGGAACAGAGACATGGTAAAAACACAGAGCAGAGCTGGAAAGTAACGAAGTACATTTACTCAGTTTTCTACTTCAGTACATATTTGAAGGACTTGACTTGACTATCATCAGTTAATGCTACTTTACACTTTAACTGCTCCTTGTTTTGGAGCTTCATGTTGAACTTTTTACTCGTCTTCATCCATTCATCTTTATTACACATTCTTGCTTTAACATCTTTTATATTCCTTTTTTATTTTGTATTTATTTCATTCTTAAATTGAGCAGAAATCTCCATCTATGATGTATTACATGACAAATATAACTAGTTCAGCTACCCAGTAGTATGTAAGTCATTTTAATAAACCATTCATTGCAAATGGAAGTGATACACATTAAAACATCACTTATTATAATCACATATTATATTATTACATTCTGCATAATCAGTTCTTTCAATGTAGGTATATTTGTATTATTAATCATATTTATATATTAGAGTATTTGTACATTGTAGTATTGCTACTTTTACAAGTACAATATCTCAGTACTTCCTTTAGTGCAGCGGTGTCAAACTAAAGCCAAATCCGGCCCGCGACTTCATTTGATCCCGCAAGAGCTTGCAAAGAATATAATATATATATAAAATATAATGTTTATTATTCGGTTTCATGCCACTTTACAGAAGCAGGTTGCCCATAAACTACATGTCCCACAATGCATCTCGTTTTGTGACATGCGCACTGAAGAGACTTGCAATTATTTGCCGTAGACTTCTGCTTTTCAGACGTAGTTAATTATGAAGTTATTAAGTTCTAATAATCCAATGCAGCGGCAATAATGTAATATAATACATTATTTTATATATATATTTATATAGTTACAACCGGCCCTTTGAGTGCAACCATAATGCTAATGTGGCCCGCGATGAAATTGACTTTGACACCCCTGCTTTAGTGCCTTGCTCAAGGGACCCACAGAGATACTTCATTTCAACACAACATGCACACTTTACTCCTTTGTTGAATCTTCTGCCTGTCTTATAATCACAGTTCAATGAAAATAATAAATATTACAAGCTATTATTTTATATTTAAACTCACCAGGTTTTTTCTCATCCCTTTTTTGCCCCCTGAAAAAACAAAAAGACAAACATGTTGACTTCAGCTTCCACGGTTTCCTTTGTCTTTTCTCTTGAATCTATGAACCCTCACCTTTAGCTCTGGTCCAGATGTGGACCGTAACCACGGTGACGACGAGAGCTGCTAACCCCACAGACACCAGGATGACCCACCACACAGCTGGAGAGAGAGAAGTCCCAAGTGTGAAATACAGTCAGAGGTTTTTAGCTGTTAATGTATTTCTTCTCTTCAGTCTCTACCTGGTCCTTCTGGATGTTTGCAGTCTGCTCCTGTTCCGGTGTTGCTTTCAGATGTCCATTCATCAATTGCTGTTCCAGTTGTTGTAGCATCACCTTCAGGAACAAAACAACATCATGCCAAAAACTGTAGTTTAAAAAAAAAAGGTTTTATGCATAAACCAAATGACAAAATGAAGTGACGTCAAAACCTCAAACCCCAAAAAGCATTATCTGTGATTAAATGTGGGATAAGTGATTTTAAACAGCTTAACGTGTTCTCACCTGAGGACTGAGCGCTGAAGGGAAACAGATGCACTTCTCTTGTGAACATATCAGTTACTTCACAAGAAAACAACTCAGACCTTGTTGTGTAACTAAAGAGAGAAGTCAAAAATGTCACAGAGGCAGAGCAGTAAGACTGTGATGTCTTTATCTCTCTGTGATCTTTGTCCACATCTTGACCCTGAAGCAGCCACTTCACTGGGTGTGTACATACTCCTCTATATGTCGACACAGAGCAGTTTAACGTCACCTCATCATTGTCCTGATGTTCAGTCACTGCAGACGGAGATATTGAGAGAGAAAGACAACAAGAGTAACATTAACTTCATCACTGTAATCATTATTATTGTAATGTTTCAGTATATTGCTCTATAGAGACAGTTTGAAACATCATGATGTAAATACTCACTGGAAACAACAGACAGAATAACATCAGAGTCTGGACCTTGTTGTTCTCCTGATCTGTTGAACTGGCTGCAGGAGTAATAACCAGCATCCTCCTCTGTGACCTTCTTTATAACCAGAGAACATTTCTCTGTAACTCTCAGTCTGTCTGATTTAGCTTTGGAATCGTTGTGAATCTGTCCGTCTTCAAACAGCCTCACTCCTGGTGGGTATGGTGAATCATAGAAGCGCCAGAGAGTTCTCTCACACTTATCCTGATCATGCATCACATAGTCACAAGGCAAAGTGACTTCATCTCCAGGTCTGACAATGTAACGTTTCAGATCTGCAGCTGTTGGGGAAAAATCAGAAAGAAATATAGATGTGATAAATGCTGACAGAACAATGATGTATTATATAAAAAGGTAAAGAGTTAGAGTTCTGGTTGATCTGTTTAATGAATCATTTAACGACACATTAAAACCAGAGTTAATTACAGATCCACATCACTAACTGAAGCGTTCATAGTGAGTGTGACGATCACTTTAAAGAATATTGCTATGTGGGTTTTAGTGAGCAAGAGTTCACTAAAGTCACCACGTTACAAACACAACTCATCACTCTCAGTTAAAGGAATAGTACGTAGTAAAGTACCGTTAGTGATATTAGAGCTGTTTTATTTCATGTACTTGGTAAATGGTAAATGGACTGTATTCATAAAGCTCTTCATCCAGTCTCTCACCCCTCAAAGCGCTTTACATACAAGTCACCCATTCACCCCCAGTTCATACAGAGCAATGTGCCCCTTGCTCAATGAAGGGGTTAGAGCCATTTCCCTTTCATCGTTATGCTTTGAATGTTTGTCTTATTACTAAAAGGCTTTAGAGGAAACTCTTAACTATCTATTTTAGTGAGTCACACTACGCTTTAAAAGATGTTAGTTTAAGCCTCACTTATTTGCGGTCAGATGTGACGTGCATGTCTGCATGTCTGTATCTCTATATATGGCATGACGTTGGTTCACAGCTGAGGGTGTGATTAGACAGGAAGCGGTAGAGTCTTTTGACCGTGTTCTTTTTGTTCTTTTTTGATACGGAGAACTTTGAGTTACTTTGAAGCGAGGAAGTTTGTCTTCATGTTTGAATGTCGCCTGGATCAAAGAATAAACCTGATTCAACGCTACAACGACCTCTGCAAAGTTAGTTAGGAAGCAGAGAGAGGCGCGTCGTAGCCCACACCCCGATAGAGGAACGTGGATATTAAATGTAGAAACGGATCAAAACGCCACGACAGAAGGTATCATTCACACACCGTTCCCCATTGGGAGCGACTTGGGGTTCAGCATCTCGCCCAAGGATACATCGATTTCAATTGAAAGACGCCCTCACTAGCTTTCATTAACAGTCGTCAACAGTGTGTGTTCTCTGCATCCTCACCTGGAAAGGGGAGCAGCAGCATCAGGAATGAAGACATCATGATCCTTCTGAATTCAGACATCAAGCTTCTCTCTCGGTCTCTGGCTCTCGACTGTCAGAGTCTCTAACCGGCTGCTTCTGTGTTTCTCTTCTGAGAACTGAAGGGGAAGTGTTTCTGTGAGGATGTGGTTAACCTGGTTAACCCGTGGTTTTACCCTCTGATGCTGAGCAGATAAGGTAAGTGCTTAACTCAACGAGCGTCTAATGAAAGTCACTTGAATGGCCTACTTTTAAACACGTGTATTAGCTGGTGTAATGTTCATGTTGTTTTGAAATAGCTTCATGCTCTACACACTGCTGACTCTTCTGGATGTGCCATTCTTAGAGCGTCTCTCTGACCTGACTATAGGACGCTACACTCAACTCTCCAAGATGTTTTATCTGACTGAGCTTCTTGTTCTGCAGAGATGAGTATTTTGGTCTTTGGTGGGACCACCGAGGCACACAGGACCATGTGGTTGGAAGTTAGGACCGTCTCAGATATTGCAGAACGAAGCCAAGACCTCCTGGACTGAGCAGGGGAACACGGGGCTTCCACACCTCGGCAGGAGAAACAGGCGTTGTTAGCATCTTGACAGAAGGATAAAGAGTCTGTTGGAGGTCAACAGGAGTCTGACGCAGATTTACATTTCATTACATTGCATTTAGCTGACGCTTTTATCCAAAGCGACTTACAATAAGTACATTCGACCAGGAAGACACAACCTTGAAGAAAACAGAATCATATAAGTACATCAGGTTTCATAGAGCCAAACATTTCAAGTGCTACTCAACTGGCTTTAGATAAGCCAGTCCTTTATTAGTATAAAAGTGCTTCGTTAATAGTTCTATCGCTCGAAGTGGAGTCGAAAGAGATGAGTTTTCAGTTTGCGCCAGAAGATGTGCAAGCTATCTGCCGTCCTGATGTCAATGGGGAGCTCATTCCACCATCTTGGAGCCAGGACAGCAAACCCACGTGTTTTCGCCGATGGGAACTTGGGTCCCCCTCGCAGCGAGGGCGCAACGAGTCGTTTGGCTGATGCAGAGCATAGTGCACGCGTTGGGGTGTACGGTTTAACCATGTCCTGGATGTAGGAAGGGCCAGATCCATTCGCAGCATGGTACGCAAGTACCAGTGTCTTGAAGTGGATTCTAGCAGTTACCGGAAGCCAGTGAAGGGAGCGGAGGAGCGGAGTGGTGTGGGAGAATTTAGGAAGGTTGAAGACCAGACGAGCCGCTGCATTCTGGATGAGCTGCAGAGGTCGGATGGCACATGCAGGTAGACCAGCCAGGAGGGAGTTGCAGTAGTCTAGGCGTGAGATGACGAGAGCCTGGACCAGAACCTGAGTCGCTTTCTGGGTCAGCTGGGGACGTATCTTCCTGATGTTGTAAAGCGTGTATCTGCAGCAACGGGTTGTAGCAGCGATGTTTGCAGTGAAGGACAGGTTGTTATCTAGGGTCACACCCAGATTCCTTGCAGTCTGAGTCGGGGAAACAACTGAGGTGCCGATGTTGATTGTTAGGTCAAGAGTGGGACAATCTTTTCCCGGGAGGAAGAGCAGCTCAGTCTTGTCAAGGTTGAGCTTGAGGTGGTGAGCAGACATCCACTGAGAGATGTCAGCTAGACAAGCAGAGATGCGTGCAACGACCTGGGTCTCTGAGCGGGGAAAGGACAGAATTAATTGGGTGTCGTCAGCGTAGCAGTGGTAAGAAAAACCATGCGGGCTAATGACTGATCCGAGCGAGTTTGTGTACAGGAAGAAGAGGAACAGAGCCCTGAGGGACCCCCGTAGTTAATTGACAAGGGTCGGACTCAGACCCTCTCCAAGTCACCCTGTAGGTACGGTCTTTCAGGTATGAGGTGAGGAGGGAAAGTGCAGAGCCTGAAACTCCAAGTTTTTGGAGAGTGCGAAGGAGGATCTGATGATTCACCGTGTCGAATGCAGCAGACAGGTCCAACAGGATGATGACAGAGGAGAGGGATGCAGTTTTGGCAGTGTGCAGTTCCTCCGTGACAGCAATGAGAGCAGTTTCTGTGGAGTGACCTGCCTTGAAACCATCAGGCAGATCTGCAGGCAAACCTAAGGTGACAGGGAAGTCAGAAAGTCTGAGTCACTTTGGTCATGCCAGAGTTGATTTCCATTGTGAATGTCAGATTCCAGGGTCACTTTCAAGTCACTGAGTTTCCAGCGCTGTTTTTGCTGGGGCTGATTCTGTGAGCTGCAGCTGACCACAACCCCCAGCAGGAGAGAGGAGCGTGCTTTGAGATCAGCTGCTGGGCTGCAGCGAGGAGAGGAGGGGGAGAAAAAGAGATCTCCGTCCTCCGTATTTTATTCTTATATTATTATATAGAGTCATTATTCATCTGTTTTAAAGTTCAATAAATAACAAAGAAGACCTTTGACCGTCACTTTTCTAATTTTGTCCGGAAGATTTAAACTTTAACGGACATGTTGACTGGCGAAAGAAAACCTCACTGAAACTCTGCCGCACGAAAATGCACTTGTTATCGCCACATTGCACTGTAATCCTATCGTAAGTAGGTCCCTGCGGCTGTACATAGGATTCGCACTGCTAACCGTAACATTGGCTAGTAGACATACGGACGAAAACACACATAGAAAGCACAGCAAGGAAGAGCTACGAGCCGCTGCGACTGTGCGCGCCGCCATCATCCAGTCAGCCTGTCATGACCTGCGATTAGCAAAGAAAGGAAGCGTTTCTGTGAAGAAGTGGTTAACAGCAGCAGCAGAGCTCTGCAGGTTTGACCCTCTGATGCCGACCAGATAACCATCAGAAACATTAATAAACTCGTTAGCATCTTGACAGAAGGATACAGAGTCTGACGCAGATCTGCTAAAAGGGGTTCCTTATTCCTGATCTGGGTGTGACTTTCGGATAAACAGTTCAAAATGGTTTGAATCCGACTTAAAGGACAGGCAACACTTTGTTTCTATAGGTAACGACCAGAGATGGGGTCGTTACTCGTAAAAAGGAATATATTACACATTACCTATTACTTTAAAAACAAGTTATATTTCTTCACTTCGTTACTCTCTACATAAAGTAACTTGTTACTTTACTCGTTACTTTACATTACTTTTGCACACTAACTTGTGTATAAAGTTTAGACACATTAAAGAGACCCTATTGTGCTTTTTGGGGGTTTCCCTCTCCTGTAGTTATATAGGTTTGTATTCATGTAACTGGTCTGCAAAGACTAACATCTCTGTGCTTTTTGCCCAAACTCGCCCAGACTCCTTTGTTTACTTACTGAACAGTGACATCACTATGTTACACTCAAACTTCTATTGGCTAGCGCCAGGGGCATCGCCTGGACCTGGAAACATTCTGGGCTGAGCCCACAGTGGTGGCGCTACAGTCAAATGTTCTACTGCAAGACTCCCCACACGCACATACACAATTGCGCCATCTGGTGTCACAAACGTGTGCCTGCATTAGCTGTGGTACGGCAATGGATTGTGGGAGACTCTCAAAGCACGTGAGGATCTCTTGAGGGTAAGGTGCCTGTATTATCTCAGTGGACAAAATGTATGTTTTTATTTTATAAGGACAATAACGTACTGTTGTGTTTGTTTAGTTTAATGTTAATTGTTTAATGCTCACAGTCACAGCAACATGTTTTTAGTGTGATTGGCTATTTGTTTTATATGATTTATCAACGTGATCATCAATAGCTAATCAGAGCACCAGAACCCAGCTTACGAGTCCTTTTATGCTGTCCATTGAAATGCAGGTATGTGAGTTTTGTACACCAGTTTATTTATGTTTAATGTTTCACATTGCTCCACATGATGCCTTGACTACAAAGTCTTCCATGTTTCTACGCTTCTTCCTCTGTGTCACAGTTTTGGGAATATCAAGATCATTGCACAGGGCCTTGGTCTTGTCATAGACCTCATGTGCTTTCTCGTTACTTCGGTAACTTTTCAGTGTGCTCTCAACTGCTGTTTTGTAATCTACTGCCTACACCAAGTCAATTGTTTCTTTCTGCAGGTATTTGTGCAGGCCCTGAGTGGTTGAGAGCAGTGTCTGGAACATGACAGCATGTAGATGGTACTGCATGTTCAAAGCTTGCTTTCCAGTCCCTTTGCTAGAGGGGCTGAAAGGCTCCCTAAAGTCTTGATCAAAGCAGGAGGTTTTTGACATGCCCAGCGAACAAGTTGTTTGTCCCCTACCTCTAGCTGTTTCTGAAATGTTTGCAATCTCTGATGGTGGAAAGAGATGTGGAGAAGAAAGAGTCGAGACACTCCAGGAGATCAACGCAGGTATGTGAGTTTTCTACACCAGTTTGTATAAGTTTAATGTTTCACATTGCTTATGAAAAAGATACTACGACTATATGATCACTGATGTTTTGTTGTTGACTGGACACTTATTTTGTAAAAGAGATAGCATGAGAGGATCTCTTAAGCAATGCAGCTCACGTGTCTTTTTTATAATCTGTCCATTGAAATGCAGGAAAGTAATCACCAGCTCTGAGTGATCTGTTGCCGAGGGGACACTACACCGGAGTTACATAAGCAGAGATAAAGTGCTATTTTGGGGGGAACTCACCTCCTCTGGGGGGGCCGGGCCATGCTCCCCCAGGAAGACTTTTTTTAAATACTGAAGTTAAAAGCATCAATCTTGTGCACTTTGAGAGCAACATTAAGAGATATGGATACATCTCTCAACACCCATATGTCAAAAAGAAATCAAAGAATCTGAATCAGAAACGGGTTTATTATTTAAAAACACTTCATTTTCCAATTAAATCATAAACTATGTCAAATTATTAGAAGTTGTTAGTAATCAGATTAAACAGAAAAAAGGGATGGAAGGAGGAAATAATATTCCCTCATCTCTTGCTGTTTGCGGTTGAAATGATCTTGCTGGCCAAACATGCTGGATGGAAAGCAGTGGTGTCTCACTTGCCTTGGCCCTGTATCTGCAGTCCCTAAATCAGTCATGTTACCCATTGACTCTTGTCTGTTCTGGTGTTCCTGTTCATTGTTGTCTCCATTGTCGTTCTTGTCTGTTGTATCTCCTTCTTGTGTGTCCCTTTCTCCTGTTCTCCTTTCTTCATCCTCTACTGTGTTTGGCTCATCTGTGATGACTGTGTAGGTAAACACAAACAAGTATGTAAGTCAATCAGTTTCCAGCTCTGTCAAATAAATGAATTTCAAGATACACACATTTGTCTTCATTAAAATGAGTGTCACCACACTGTCACAAAATGTAATACTAACCAATTGAAAATAGTTAAA